TGACTTGAAGAGCAGTGTGAAGACAACAAATATTCACTACAGGTAATTACTGGTAGGAGTAAAAGGCAGTGCTGTAGACATGGACTAATGAAAACAATAAGGTTATAAGGTGACTTAACCATACACAGCTGGTGAATGGTAAGTCATGCTCTGAGCCTACGTTTCTCTGACTGCAAGCCACGGATGCCTACTAGCATCCTACCCTGGATCCTACTGAGCTCCTTGGTGTTTGGGGCTCACCTGTCTGGGTTCAACTGAATTTATTGCCAAGGCAACCACAGGTAACTAACCCCTGGCATGATAATGACATGCACTACACCATTTTTGAATGAATAAATGATAATTTTCCACCTTGATCTGTGCAGGCTGTGGAGTTGAAAATCATGTTTGTCTAAATCCATAAATTCACAAAAGAGATGGGAAAGTGAAGCTTTTCCATCTCCAAGAACAAAGGTTGTCACTTGACACTCTTTGAATTGTCAGCAATGACCCTTCACCTTTCCGAAATCTCATTTTTTATTCATTCGTTGATAATTTCGTATATGTATACAATGCATTTTTTTTTTCTTTTTGAAGCAGGGTCTCCCTGTAGCCCCAGCTGTCCTAGAACTCACTATGTAGACCAGGCTGGCCTTGAACTCACAGAGATCTGCCTGCCTCTGCCTCCCAAGTGCTGGGACTACAATGCATTTTTATCATATCAACCCAGTACTCTTCCTTCTAAGTCCTCACAGACCTCTCACCACATCTTCTCCCAACTTCATGTCCTCTTTTCATAGCCCATTGAGTCTAGTCAGTTCTGTCCTTATGTTCCTGGGTTGTGGGGCCATCCATTGGAGCATGAACATCCTAACGGGCCACTTCCTGAAGAAAACTGGCTCTCCTTACCCCAGCAGGCTTCAACTGCCAAAGCTCCTCAGCTAGGGGTGGGGCTTCAGGACTCCCTCCACCACCCACGCTGCAGTGTTGACTGGCTTGATCTTGTGCAGGTCTGTGCAGGCAAGCACAGCTCCTGTGAGTTCCTGAGTGCAATGGCCCCGATATGTCCAGAAGATGCTGTTTCACTGCAGACTTCTCCAACCTCTGGCTCTTAGAGTCTTTCTGCCCCATTTTCTGCAATGTTCCCTGAGCCGTGTGTGTGTGTGTGTGTGTGTGTGTGTGTGTGTGTGAGAGAGAGAGAGAGAGAGAGAGAGAGAGAGAGAGATTCCATTTAGGACTGAGCACTCCAAAGTTACTCATTCTCTGCAGTCCATCTGAACACACTGTTCAGTGGGTCATGGTAGGTTCTGGTGAGGAGATCTCAGACCAGTGGACAGACCAGATCAGCACAGCCTGGAGTTCCATCATGTATTCCCACCTCTTGGGCTTGCCTGTCCTTCATGAAGTTGTGGTTGTCCTTAGTCTCTATTCATAATACAGAATGAGACAAGAGGCACCCATTGGCCTAGTGGCCACAACAGTCCCAGCTTAAATGTGGCATTTAAGGTCCTGTGTGATCAGAGCTCTACTCACTCCTATTCATTCAATCACTGTAGCTACTGGTTTGTTTATTTAGAGGGGTGTGTGTGTGTATGTGTGTGTGTTGGGGGAGGGGTTGAGACATGGTGTCCCTGTAGCTCCAGCTGTCCTGGAACTCATATTGCAGACCAGGCTGGCCTTTGCCTCTCGAGAACTGGGATTAAACACATGTGCCACCATGCCTGGCCCTAGTTATTTTTTTTTATAAGGAAATTCCACTTCTAGACATAACCAGCAATTCCACCAATAGACATAAAACCAAACAAATTAAAAACAGGGACTCTAACAGATATCTGTACATCACTGTTCCTAAGCAGAATTATTCATAGTAGCTAAAAGGTAGAAACAACCCAAATGAACACCAACAGATGAGTTGATCAAGTGGAATATTATGTGTCCTTTTAAAGGAAATTCTGACATGTGCAACAACATAGATGGAGCTTGAGGACCTTGTGCTAAGTGAAATAGGCCAGACATAGAAGGACAGATGCTATAGAATTCCACATATATTCGATGCCTAGAGTAGTCAAACTTCCAGAGACAAAAATGTAGGCAGAGATTACTAGGGGTAGAGAGAGGGCAGAGTGGACAGTTTGTACTTGGGAAGGTACAAAAGTTTAGAGACAGAGCAGATCACTGTAAAATATGGCAAATGGATATAATACCACTGACCTGTACACTTAAAAATAGCTAAGACAGCTTTTTAAAGGCTCTAAGAAATGGACTGAAGAGATGACTCAGTAGTTAAGAGCACTGGATGCTCTGGTAGAGGACCCAAGTTTTGTTCCCAGCACCCCCATGGTGTCTCACTACTATCCCTAACTCCAGTTCCAGGGGATTCAACACCTTCCTCTAACTTCCAGTCATTGTATGACATAGTTGTACTTACATACATGCAAGCAAAACACTCGTGCATAAAATAAAAATAATTTTTAAAGTTCTAAATATGAAATGAAAGTTTAAAACTCCCAAAGAACCATCAGAATGAAAGTATTCTAAAACTGACAGTAGTGATGATTGCAGATATCTGTGAAATTTACTAAAAACCATTGAAATGTCACTTACCTGCAGGGCACGTGAATTGCAGCCCAGCAAAGCTATTATTGGAGGGAGCCTGCCATGTGCTAGGTGCTAGGCCACCACACTGCATCCTCCTGGGATTTGTAGCTTTCTCTAGAGATACATTCCTACAGACTCTCTTGCCTAAAATCCCTATAAAATGGCCATCCAGGAGTGATCGCACTTCACAGGGCACTATCCCAGGGATCAGCATTGTGGAAAGTAGGTAAACAAATAATGTGGTCTCCAGAATGAGTGGGACCACATTGCAGAGAAGGGTGACTCTGGGTCTCAGTGGATGGAGCAGGAATGACCTTGACCCACAGGGCAATGAGCTTGACCAAGGCCTCAGCTTCCCCAGTGGAACAAAATGGTCTGAATATACTGTCCTACCCACCTAGTGTTTTCTCTATTTTCTACCGTCCTACCTACCATCTATCTATCTATCTATCTATCTATCTATCTATCTATCTATCTATCATCTATCTATCTATCATCTTTCAATCAATCATCATCTATCTATCATTTATCTATCATCTATCTATCTTTTATCTATCTAACTTCTATTATGTGACCAGGGAAGCCCCATAGTACATCCTTGGGCCCTAATCTCCCTGATCTCAGAGCTGACAGATCACAGGTCCTCTGGGAAGGGCTTAGCAGACAGACCTTCCACCCAGCACAGTCCACCTGGCTGCCTGCTGCTGCACTCACCCTCCTTCCTCCCTCACTTTTTAGTGACTGTGCTGAGGATAGAACCCAGGCCATTGCACATGACCTAGACAGGTACTCTACCACTGAGCCACATTCTAGCCTTCATCTAGTCTCCTGAGGAGACGTACACCCCCTTCCCCCATCCCAGGACTGGAGTGCCACCTGGGACAGAGCTCAGAGTGACTCTGACAAAGCCCATGTCCCACCAACCCTATTGGGACTTCTACACTAGCATGTTGTCCCTAGAACCTGGCCCATGGAAGGTGCTGAAGACAGTTTTCTGGGCAGTGTTGAGAACACTAGAAAAGGGACTTCTGGGGAGAATTGACTCAGGAGGAACAGGGACAGCAACAAGACAGAGAGAGGGACCTTCTTGGGAATTCTCCCACTCTGCAGCTGTGGCTGTCCCTGACTTGGGGACACTGCTGAGGTCCTTCTGCCCTAGGATGTACTATACTTCAGGCTGTCCTCTTGAGCCTGCTGCTTGGATCCCCCGTACAACTAGCTGATGCAAACACTCCCCTTTTTTGGTGGTCAGTACCAGGTCTCCGTTATGGTAGCCCCTGCGAGGATTCAGCAGTCCCAGGGACCAGCACAGGAGGCCCTGGCAGACCAGAGACAGGATACCTGAACTGAGGGTCCCTGAGCAGAGACCAGGGCCAGGAAACTTGTTTTCCTACTGCAGGGACAGCCTGGTGACCTGGAAAGTGACCCTGGTGTGGGTCGAGATGCTCATGCTTTCTATGGTGACATCACTACGATGGGAACCCACACCTCAGCCATACCAACTACACAGGCTACATTGGAGCCAGGGAGACTCAGGCAGCTGATGTGCTTCTACATTTGGGCAGGCACATCCTGATGAACTTGAGGGTTTCACCAGTGGGAATCTTATAGTCACAGAATGTCACAATTACAGGGTGAGAATGAGATCTTATCCTCTCCAGCCATCCCAGTGGTGGGTGCACCCTGCTTGAGGCTTCCAGGGATGGAGACTCACAGTATAAGGCATAATCCCATGGCTGGGCCAGTGCTCTCACCAATAATTCCTGTAATTTCTCACTGCTTCTCAGCACCCACTCTTTTAGACCAGAGAATCCCTCAATACTCCACCAAACCCTTCCACATCCCTCTTCCTGCATTTCTCTTGTCCATACCAAATAGCCAGTAGTCCCTTAAACTCTGCCTTTATAATGTGACTTCATAGCCTTTCCTTAGTCATTTTGAATATGTTCAAAAGGATCAAAGATGGAACCCATGCCCAATCCCATGCTCCAAGTAGGGCCTCCTGGTGTGGAATGAAGTAAGGTCACACCTGTCCCAACCTAGACATTTGACTTCTATTAATGTAGCCTTGAGGGAGATAATGGGGGAGGGGGAGTCCGAAGTCTTGACAACTGTCAAACCAGGAGAAGCTGAACTCTTGTTCTTCTTCCCAGTGTTTGGCTTCCAGCTACAAAGAATGATGGTTGTTCCCCCCAATTTCAGACCATCTGCCTTTTAGGATAGCACCCCATTTTTCCCAAGATTGCCAACAGTTTGTGGTCCTTGAACAGTGGGACACACTTTTCTGAAAGCCTCAGCTAGCAGGGAGCAAAATCAGGGCTGAGGCTCCTGAGGCTCCTGGTGCCCTGTGGGCTTCCACACACCTTCCACCCTGGGTTACCTCATTCTTGTGTAGGGTGTGAATTCCCTGTTCTCTCTCTAGCTCAGTGTCCTTGCTCTTGCTCCTCTTGTTCTCTCCTCCTCCTCCTCTTCGTCCTCTCATCCTCCTTCTCTTCCTCCTCCTCCTTCCCCTCCTCCCCTTTTTCCTCCACCTTCTCTGCCTTTCTCCTTCATATTCTCTCTCTCTCTCTCTCTCTCTCTCTCTCTCTCTCTCTCTCTCTCTCTCTCTCTCTCTCTCTCTCTCTCTCTCTCTCTCTCTCTCTCTCTCTCTCTCTCCCTCCCTCCCTCTCTCCTGGCTGGGGGGGCAACACCCTGCCTCATTCCAAAAGCTCTCACTGTTCTCACCATCCCCTCCCCCTTTTCATATTGTAACTATTCCTCCTGGCTCAGTGGTATGCTCATTCTGTCACCTGCTCACTTAACCAAGCACTGTTTCTGTATCTACCCACCCATCAGTGTTTGAAGGCAAGGCTGATCGTTTTCTTATAGCAGAAGAAATCACGGAAAGCTGGAACACACAGCCCGGAAGGGCCAGGACTTTTACCCTGTCTTAGTTACTATCTATTGCTGTGATAAAAGCACTGACCAAAACCAACTTAGGAGGAAAGGGTTTATTGTATCTTACATCTCCCAGGTCACAGTTCATCACTGAGGGAAGCCAAAACAGGAACTCAGGGAAGGAACCTGGAGCACAGACCATGGAGAAATGCTGCTTATTGGCTTGCTCCTCTGGCCTCTGCTCAGCCTGCTTTCTTACATAATACAGGACCACCTACCCAGGGGTGGCACCACCCACGGTAGGCTGAACCTGTCATATCACTAAACAATCAAGAAAATGCCCCACAGGTATTGGCCACAGGCCAATCCAATGGAGGAAATTCCTCAGGTGAGGGTCCTTCTACTCAGGTGTGTCAAGTTGACAACTAACGCTACCCAGCACACCAGTCTCCAGAAAGTAAAGGGCAGACTCAGGTCTTGACCCACCCTAGGCTGTGAATGAAGGAGCGGGGATTTGCATTCAGAGCTGATGTGTACTCTCACACAGGAAAGGAGGTGACAAGTCATAGCAGAAGCCCTTGGCTGATGGTGGGGAGGGACTTCTGACATTTGCTAGATGGAGGAGTACCCTGTGCTGTCACTTCTAAGACTGCAACCCTGGTCAGATAGCTTGTATTGTTTGTGGTACCTGCTTTTTGCCTATGCCTTTAGGCCTTTGCTTTTTTCCTTTTTAAAAAAGACTAATGTCGCAGGTGGTATCCCTGTCTGGTGTCCCAGGTGCCTCTCTGGCTTTCTTTACAAAGTTCTTGACATCTGTAGTTTCTTTATTCTGAGCTCTCTCTAAATTGCCCAGAACGCCCTTGAACTCTGGGCTTGGGATTCTCTGAGTTCAGCCCCCAAGTGCCCAGGATGACATCGCCACCATGCCCAGCTATGCTCCTGTAAATTGCTTGCTCGGTGGTGAAATGCTCTTGCCAGGTGGGCTCGTGTTTCCAGCAGGGAGCTTCCTCTAAGTCCCTTCCTGGCCAGCTCCCTGCCACCACCCTGGCTGGGCTCAGATAGTTAAGTTGCAGAGCAGGAGAGAGGCAGAGTCAGAGCCTCAGCTCTCCACTCCTGCTCTGCTCTCCGTACACTCTGTCCACCTCCCTCAGGCTCCATTCCTCACCTGACTGCTGTACTCCTAGCCCCTTGCTACCCCTTTCCCTGTGACTAGTGCAAGCTTGACACATAGGCTGATGTTGAGGGATGGGGCACTTGTGATGGGGTGAGTTTCCCCCAACTAAATAACAACAAAATTTATAGGGATTTTTATGAGTGTCTTTTCTAAACCAAGGGCTCTGGACCCATTATCTCTCTTTATTGCCCCCAAATCTCCTCAGGAAGGCTATGCAGCCTCCACTTTACAAATAAGGAAATGGAGGTTCAGAGAAGTTACACAAAGGTTCAGATCCTGGCAAGTGGTAAATTATGTTCCACAGGATTGGCACTGTGGGATCTCTGACTGGAGTGCTGGTTCTTTCTATCCCACTGCCCTGCCTCCCTGGAAATAACACTGATGGACAGCCCTCCTCCTCTAAGCTCTGCCATTTTTGGATGTCCAGGGCAGCTGTAAGTTGGTTCTCACTTGCCACCCAGTGCTGTCAGGCCATGCTAGCCATGCCAGTCATGGTTGGCCATGGGGGTCCCATGGGGAGGGGGTGGAGTGGACACACTAATGTGCTCAGCCTTCAGGCCAGAGATCAAACAGCCAGCAAGGCCAGATGTAAATCACCCTCAGAGACAAACAGTTCCAAATGACCAGCACACCCAGATTCCCACAGACACCCTACACCACCCTCCTGTGCCTCCCTGCTGCCCCCAGGTGGGGGGGCCAAACATACCCTGGGAACCCAGTTACACTGGAGCTTCACAGGCCTCGTTTTTCCCACTTAGGGCTTCTTCCTCAGCTGAAGCTAAGATCAGGGGTCTCTGTAGGACCCAACATGTACACGTGGTTTGCAAAATGGTGTAGAGTAGTAAACTGGGCCTGGTAGCAAAATATTTGAGCACTTCCCAGCTGTGTGATGGGAGACAAGTTGTTTACCAACCTGCAGGATCGTGTCCATCTGTAATAAAGGGATGGCAATGATGGCCCCACTCTGTAGTGTATAGCCTAGCTCCTGCATAGCTGATGATAGAAAACAGTAGCTCTCTCCATACTGTATCTTGCCTATTTATTTATTCTTTTTTTAAAAATATTTTTTTGGCCTTTTTGAGACAGGGTCTCCCCCCTGTAGCCCCACCTGTCCTGGAATTCACTACATAGATCAGGCTAGCCTTGAACTCACAGAGATCCGCCTGCCTCTGCCTCCCAAGTGCTGGGATTAAAGGCGTGCACCACCACGCCCAACTTAAAAAATAATTTATTGAGAATTTCACACATACATATAAGCTGTTTTGAACAAATCCATGCCCACTCCTTCCCCTCCAACTTCTCCTATATCTCCCCATCACTTTTTTTCCTGGTAACTTCATACCATTACTTATTTAAACTTTAAAACCTTTAGCAAAGTAGATATTATCTCCATCCTTCGAGGAGTTACAGATTCCATACGAAGATGAGATTTCGCCCCATTCTTCCTGACCCACAAAGGGCTCCTCTGTCTACTTCACAAGCTGCCTTGGTTCTAAAAGAACTTTGTGTAAGATTACTAATAACCTCTGAGCAGGTTTATTTCCCACCATTAACACTATGAGAAGTTATGTCTCATACTTTGGACCCCTAGCTATTTTGCACATATGCTTTGCAGCAATGACAAGTGTCCTTGGAAAGACACAGTGACCTTCCAACACCTGTCCTGGGCTCCTCTGCCAGGCATGGGTAGAAGATGGAGTGGAGAGGCTCTCCTGCCCTTTGGTGGCATACCAGTGGTTGCAGGTTGGGCAGCGAGGGGCTGCAGCCTTGTCTGGCTCCTGCACTGAGGCTACCCACAGATAAGCCCTGGGCCTTCTATGGATTTTACACCCTCTGCACTGCCCCAGCAGCTCTGTGGGAACTGGAGCTGCAAGCTTTGCCCTTGGGGAGGCCAGGGCATCCCCTCAGACCCCCCTCCTTCACCCCAGAGGCCTGCTTCTCATCTCCCAGCACCACAGGCAGTAACCCTCTGTCCTGTGAAAGCCGAGGAGAGAGGAATGTCACATGAAAGGTGCCCGAGGAGGCCTGGCCAGCGTCAGGCCATCAAATGGCATGTGCCAGGTGGTTAGCATTAATAGAGAGGCTGCAGGGGGCAAGGGCTTGACTCTAGAGGTTTGACTGTATGCTACTAGCTGGCTGCTGCATTTCAGCTAAAGTAACTAAGGGGGCCCTTGTCCTCCTCACTAGCTCCACTCCACCTTAAGTGACACTGATTCTCATGTCATCTGTCACCTGCTCTCAAAATGCTCTTGCTGGTCTCCATTCCACTCTGAACCATCTGCCCATGACTTCCAAGCCATCTTGCATCAGGGCTTTGACTCTTCCCTTTTGTCAGTGCCACTGAAACAATCACTGTTTTAATGTTTTCAGCACATAGCACTCTTCTCATACTTTCCACAGTAAGTGACCAGACAGGAAGAGAGGGTCCCAAAATGGTACTTCCCAGTTTGGTCTGGAGTCCCAGGTGATGGTCCCTCACTAGCTTAGATGGTCCCTCACTAGCTCCCTTTGCCACGGGTGGCCTTTGCTGGGTGGAGGAAGAAGAAGGTTTGAGTTAGATGTCAGCAGGCTTGGCAGAAAGGGTGGGTCTAGGCACTGGCAAGGATTACAGTGCACCTCTGAGACATTGTGTCCCATGAAAGGGTATAAAAACTCAGTTTATGGTGAAGTTTCTTTTTAGTATTTGGTCTTCCTTGGGATATTTCTGACATTTTCCAGATCGTTTGGGGAGCACCTCTTGGTCCACTTTCAAATTTCCACAGAATGAGACCCAACTCTACCACCTGACTTTAACACTTTTGGTGACTCAGATTTACTTTACTTCTCTGATCATGTCCCAGTGGGACAGTCCCTGTGACCTATGTTCTGACCACATGGTCCATTTGCTGAGAGACTGCCACATTGGAATGAAACCTTCAAAGCTGACCGGCAGATGTCCCTGGCCCCAAGTCATATGATCCCTTCTCTCCACTTAGCACCAGCAGAGGCTAGGGGACACATGGCATGATGTGGCTGCATGCTGAGGGGATTCACAGGGACTTTGCATTGGTGGTGGTCTGGGTGGGTCTGGAAGGAGGGACACCAGTACTCTTGTTGAACATGTGAGGAACAGGGCTGCTGGGAAGGGCCTGCTTAGAACACAGAAGCTTGCTTCTCAGGAGTCGGAGCAAGAATGAGACACTTTCAATGTCTTGTTTTGAGAAGTCATGATGACAGTTCTGAGAATGGATTTGCAACAGGAAGACAGAGATGGGAGAGGAAGGAAGACAGTTGTGACCTTCCAGGTGGAATGTGCCAAAGGAAGAACTCAAGAACCCTGAGGGTTGCAATTATTTGGTTTAGTGATGTGGGTAAGGTCTTGTGGAAGCAACTAGGGCGATGGGGATTGAGATGGGATGCCTTCACTCTGTTTAAGGTCCCCAAGTTGTCTCTTACTAAGAATATTCCAAGATCTGTTTAGTACACTAACAGTCTTCTTGGCATAAAAATACTCTCACTGTTGGGTGCAGTGACTCACACCTGAAATCCCAGAATTTGGGGAAGATCCATTCTCTCTCTCTCTCTCTCTCTCTCTGAAACAAAAGAAAACAGCCAAATAAAACCAATGAAAAATTGGAATTCTCAAGGTCTTCCTCAGTCCTCTGAAAGGAGAATGTTCTAGAGAAAAGACCTAGAAATCTCCTTTCCAAAATGCTGCTCAGATGAATCTTTGATTTTTAAAAATTAATTAATTTTATTTATCTTTTTAAGAAACTGTTTCTCTAGGCTTCCCTTGAACTCCCTGTGACCATCTGAAGATGGTCTTGAACTTCTGATTCTCCTGAATCCTGAGATTACAGATGTGAGCCAACACACCAGTTGATACAGTGCTGGGACTCAAACCCAGGGCTTCCTGCATGCCAGACTCTCCACCAACCATGTTCTAGTGACTCTTACCATCAGCTGACTCTGAGGCACACTGCTGACAGTGATGGCCTGCTGCAGGTTCCCACTGGGCCACACCAGGATTATGAGCTGTCAAGGCTAGCATCAGCTCCTTTCTGCCTTAATTTCTCCAGAATGCAACTCAGGCCCTGTGTTGCCCATGGCTGGCACTGACTGGATGAAAGATGATTTCCTCTTGTGTATTTCAGTAAGTATCACCAGGCCTCTGGTGGCTCGGGGTGACTGGTCCATCCTATAACCATTCTTCCCAAATCCTATTCAGCCCTTCTTACATCCCAGCACTTGCCTGTTAGTTTTGAAGGTTTCGTTCCAGTGTGGCAGCCTGATGTGCTCCATGATTTTAGATGCAAAACCCTAGGGGTTTCTACCTTTTATTTTTAAGATGAACAATGGTGAAAAATAATTACTTTTGTATGTCTTTTTTAATAAGAAAGGAAAGTTACCAATGGGAAGGTCTTCAAAAGGCCACTTCTCAAACTCAAGATTTACTTGAAAGCACATACTCTCTTGCTGGAGGCCAGGCTTGGTATGTTTCTGATTACACCGGTGACCCTCACCCCTAAAACCCTTTGTAGATGGGCCTTTTTTCTAGACAACCTACTGATGAGCAAATGATCTAACAGATTTCACACCACATAAATTTAAGCCTAATAAATGGCTTCAAGTTCAGAGCTCCTAGTTCTGGGTTCAGAGAAGTACAATCTCTACAAAAGCAATTGTGTAGACAATTAATAAACCCACACACAGCACTGGAAAAAGGTGAATTCTGCTCCTGATCTCCTGTCCTCAAACAATCTCCATCCAAATGATTAACTTTGGGAAGTCATGATTTACCCTGGGGGTTCTTGTTGGAGTCATGGTAAGAGAGGTCCGCCTAGTCACAGATATCTCCTGTCTTGTTCAATACGGGAGTCACTAGTCATATGTAGCTACTTACTTTTAAGTATTTGATAATTAAATCAAACATTGAGGTTTTAGTTGTACTGGCCACATTTCAAGGGCTCAGTAGCCATATGTTACTTAAAATGACTGAATTACAGCACAGGGTAGAACATTTCCATCACCACACAAAGTTCAGTTGGACAGTGCTGGTCTATTAGGCAGAACCTCTCAGGGCCCAAATTGTTTGTTTTGTACCAATTATCTGTAACTGTACCTCCCCTGGGTCTGATTTATTACATCTATCTAATTAAACAAATTGAAGCAAAGTTCATACCAAAAATATAGACTAAAAAGAAATCCTATTGTTAACGGGAAAGAAGGAAACTTAATTTTAAATCTGCTGATGAGCTTCAGTTTCTTTCAAGTCTCTGCTATTTTGGGTGATGTATTTACAGCTTTGGGGATGAACAATCTTCATTATTCAAGACCAGAAAATAAAATCTGCCTTCTTATTCTCATTAGATAATTGTTCTGTTTGAATTAACCAGGTAATTACTCTGGCTGCCAAGGACATGTGCATGTCAGAGTCTCTTAGGGGCAGTAAATAAGGACTGGACCTCCTGAGTTCCACAGTCTTTTGGACAGGTGGCCAGGGGAAGAGTGAGGGATTAGCTAAACTGCATGGCTGGCTTGTAGCAGAGGAGTTTGTTGTCCTTAGTTGATGATCCTTGAGCCTCAGTTTACTTAGTAGGGGGAGCTATTCAGTCTTAAGCCAAACTGTGAACTTGTGGGTTTGCAGCAGTCCTGGGAGGTCCATTCTTTGCTTCAAATGATTATGTGTGTGTGTGTGTGTGTGTGTGTGTGTGTGTGTGTGTGTATGTGTACATGTGAGTACACACATGTGTATGTGTGCACTTGTGACTGTAGAGGCCAGATATTAACTTTCTTAATTAAAGTGTCTTTCACTTGATTTTTTTCAGTCAGGGTGTCTCACTAACTCAGAGTTCACCTATTGACTTGACTGGCTGGCCAGGGACCTATACGAACCGGCCTATCTCTGCCCTCCTCCTCCAGCACTAGGGTTACAAACATATACCACCACTGCTTGACTTTTGCATGGATGCTGGGAATCCAAACTCAGGTCCTCATGATTGCACAGCATGCACTTTATCAACTAAACCCTCTTCCCAGCCCTTACTAAATCTAAATTATTGCAGGTCATCCTCAAAGTTGGTCTTCTAACTTCTACAGTCAGAAATGGGCTTTGCCTCATCAGACAAAGGGTTCTCTAGTCATGAGGAAGGGGTTCAGATGTGGGATAGCCTAAAAGAATGACAAACAACCACTAGTAAGTTAGTCTGCATCTTTCAGTGGGGAAATTTAGTTTGTTTCTACTCAAGATTGTTGTTGGGTAACAATTTACATCTACCTTTTCTTTCTTTCTTTCTTTCTTTCTTTCTTTCTTTCTTTCTTTCTCTCTCTCTTTCTTTCTTTCTTTCTTTCTTTCTTTCTTTCTTTCTTTCTTTCTTTCTTTCTTTCTTTCTTTCTTTCTTTCTTTCTTTCTTTCTCTCTCTCTCTTTCTCTCCCCTTCCTTCCTTCCTTCCTTCCTTCCTTTCTTTCTTTCTTTCTTTCTTTCTTTCTTTCTTTCTTTCTTTCTTTCTTTCTTTCTTTCTTTCTTTTGTTGTTGCCAGAGACAGTTTATTAATAAAGAGAAAGATACTTGTAAGAATGAAAGTGGGCTCAAAAGCTCCAGACCTCAGTGTTGTGACCCTTATGGGACATTTACACAGCATCCACCTGCCTCCACATTTGTACACGGCACTCTCCCTCACATCCTTACATGCAGCCCTGGTGGGGAGGGATTTCTAATCTTTTGCCAGTTGGCTTCATTCATGTCATCTTGGTGTTTTTCTGATGAGTTCCTCCCTCCTGCCACAAAATTATGTCTAGGTGTCAGCATACAGACTGGTGGGGTGACTGAGCTCTGTTTTGTTGGCACTCACATGCTTATTCATGTACATACTCTTTATGGCTGTTTTACTCCATTGAGGCAGATTTCAGCCATTTTCTTAATCTACTTCTGTTTGTTTTAAATGTTCTGTGTTCTTTTTGTGCCTCCTGCTGTGGCTTACTGGTGTATTGTGTTGATAAGTTTTGATTCTTTTTGATTTCTCTTTTGTGCATCTACCCTTCTACTGGGTTTTCATCACAATAACTCTCTTTCATATTTGAATGTAGGACTCCCATCAGCATCTCTATAAGGCTGGCATGGCAATGATAAATCCCCTCCATTTTGGCTTGTTTGGGACGATCTTTATTTTTCCTTCATTTCTTAAGGCTATCCTAGCTGGGTATAGTATTCTTGATTGGTCCTTATCTTCTTTCAGGACTTGAAATAATTCTCATTTCCTCCTGGCATAGAAGTTTTCTGTTGAGGAATCTGCTCTTCATATGATGATTGACAATGATTGCAGACTTAAATGTGACTTGACTCTTTCTAGTCCAATTCTCAGCTTCTCTCTTTGCCTGGTACTTTTACAATCTGATTATAATAAGCTTTAGTAAAGATATTTTCTGATCAAACCCATTTGGAGCCTTGTATATCTCCTGAACCTCACTATCTTTTGTCTTTACCAAGGTTAGGGAAAAGGTTTATCTATGCCTTTCTCCTTTCCTTCAAGAACTCCAAAAATGTGAGAATTTGCTCCTTTGGTGGTGACTCAAATGCTGTCTTGATTATTTTTAATTTTTATTTCTTTTTGGTTATTTAAAAATACTTCTTTTGGGGCTGGGCACCTGCACATGGTGCATGCCTTTAATTCCAGCACTTGGAGGCAGAAGCAAGTGGATCTCAGTAAGTTCCAGGCCAACCTGGTCTACATAGAGAGTTCTGGACCAATCAGGGCTACATAGTGAGATCCTGTCTCAAAACAAGAACAAAAACAAAACTAAACACAACCTGTTTTCAAGTTTGAAATTTCTTTTTTCTGCTTGATCTACTCAACTCTAAGGCTTTCAGTTCTAATTTTTTATGTGACATGCTGAGAATATCAGATCCGAGATTTCTGTTTGAATATTTTTCAGTCTTTCTGTCCTCATTTATAACATGGATTGTTTTTCCAGTTTTGTTGGTGTATACTTGCGTCCTCCTGAATCTACTTGTTTCCTTATAGCCATTCTTCTGAATTCTTTGCCAGTCATTTTTGTCACTGTCCTTTTCTTAGAGGTTTGTTGCCAAGGACTTATTGTGTGGTTTGCAGGCATCATGTTGCCTTGTTTCTTCTGCATTTCTTGTGACCCTACATTAAGAATTACACGGCTGGTAAACAAATCATCTCCACTTTTATAAAGTGGTTATTGTCATCTTGCTTTCTCTTGAAGCTGTCCTAATCCTGGTTCAGAAAGCTGTGTTGATTTTGGTTCCAACTGGAGACCACAATTGGTTTCTAAGTCTCTCCATAGTTTCTCCTGCTTAATCCAGGAGTTTGGGTGCAGTGGAGAGAGATGTTTAGTCTCAAGGGGCCACTTGAGAAAGAGCTGCTCTAGATGTCAGGTGTACACAGCAGCAGCAGTGTGGCTTAAGCTGGCTGGGTGCACAGGGTCAGTGTGGCTGACAGTGTAGTTCAGCACCCAGCCCATGCTTCATCAGCTTGGGATCTGGAGGTTTAGGGACAGACAGTGCAAGTTCCTTCTCTGGAGCAACACTATGATGCAAATGCCTGAAAGCTCCTCTAATAGGCCCCAATCTTTCCTTCCTAAAGTGAGATTTGCTAGTGACCAAGATGAGGTTTCTGGTATTCACAACAATGGTACCTGGAGCTGTCTTATTCACCATTTCCTGTCTAATGAGTGACTTTCTCAGCTGGGGAACCAGGATTATAGCTTCCAGAGCTCTTTATTCTACTCCATGCAGCTGACTATCCCAAGTCTGTGTCCCTTGCTGGGTTCTAGTACCACTCTCCTTAAGATGCAACTATTTGCTATTCTGATTTATAGAAGAGGAGGCAAGTAGAGGGCCCTTGTATCTCCAGCATGTCAAACCTAACGCCTCTAAAAACTGAACTGATGATCACTGTTCCCCATCTCATATTCCCTCATATTCACCATGTCAGTGAAAAACACTGCCACTCTTTGGGTTAAGCAAACCCAACGTCCTGGATTTTTCATCATGCCCTCCCTTTCTTTCTCTTCCTACAGCTAACTCACCACCCAACTGTGGATTTTATGTCCCAAAGTGCTCCTAATGTCTATTCACTTCTCTTCATACCCATCAATGCCTTGGTCCAAACTGTAGTCATCGCTTCCTAGGCTGCTGCTATACACACCTGATGAGTGTCAGAGCTGTTAGCACCTGCTTCTCCCAGGACGGCCTCACTGCTGAGGTCAGAGTGGTCTCCCAAATGAAATCTAACATTTTAAATCCCTGTTTTCAGTTCTTTAATAGTTTCCATTGACTTAGGGGAAAATCAAGGCTCCTTAATTGACTTCAAAGCCTTCCGTCTTCTGTCCCTTCCAGTCTCTGGTCTCATCCCTCATGCCTTTCTTCTCCTCACCTTGCAGACCTGTCCCCTTGCAATTGTTAGTCTCTCATAGCCTGTGCTACTGTTTCCTATAGATCCTCTGCTGCGGCTGCTTCCTTAATCACCCCTCATGCCCTGGCTGGTTGAGTCCATTCATTTTCCCCATCTCAGTCAAGCATGGCTTCTTCAAGGATGTATTCCATGAATTCCGTATCAAAGTCAGTTCCCCCGTATAGGTTCTCAGAGCACCAAAGGTCTTCCCTTCAGAGTCCTTGTTACAGCTGCAATGCTGCATTTGTTTGTATGATAAATAGACAAGCATCCTTCTTTTCAAGTAAATTGTAAGCTCTATGATGAGAAGGCTCATACATCTGTGCTCACTGAAGATTACCTGGTCTGACTCACAATGAGCACTTGATGACATTGAACCACTGAATGAATGAAAGAGCTACAGTACGGAGTACACCAGACTTGCTCTTTTCTTTAAATGTTATTTATTATTATTATTTGTGTGTGTGTGTATGTGTGTGTGTGATATGTGGATGTGGATGTGCATGCCATAGCATGTGTGTGGCAGTCAGAAGACAACATTGTGAAGTCAGTTCTCTCACTCCACCTTTACATGGGTTCTAGAGATCAAACTCAGGTTGTCAGGCTTGCATCATTCAGTGGCATATGCTTTTATCCACTGAGCAGACTCACCTGCCCCATACCTGGTTTTGAATCTTCTTTTATTCATCACTTTCTGATTTGTATTAACTTATCAAATCATTTATGTGTCTGAGACCCAGTTTCCTAATGTGTAGAAGAAACTATTTCATAGGGACTTAGGAGAACAAGTGAAGTAATTGTGATAGAGTGCCTAGAACAGCCAGGGTCTAGCACATAGTTGGCACTTGGGAGATGGTTGTTGCCAGTACCAAAATATCCCTCCTACTTGAGAATCATGTCCATATTTTGTCCCCAATGTGGTTAAAAGTGAATGAACAAAATTTGTACAGCATGTTCATAAAACACAAAATTCCATTAAAGGAAGAAATATATGGGTATTTGTCATATACATAAAAGAAAGAAATGATAGGAATATTCCAAAAACACTGTCTCTTAGTGATAAATTTTGAATTATTAAATTTTCCTTTAACCACCTTCTAACACCATAAAATGATTTGTTATTTTAATGTAACAAAACATAAATGTTATTTTTCTATAAAGAAAACTAAGAGAAATGTTATTACTGTAAAAGAAGAGAAAAAGATAAAAGGAAAAGAAAAATCCAAACAGGAAGGGAAGAGAAGGGAGAGAGGACAGCGCTGGTTTACCAGCTCCAAGGGGCCCATCTTTGTTGGAGGCAATTGGAGTTCTCATTGTTTGGCAAAGTTTCATTGGAATTTTTAATGTTAAATAATCTTGGACCCCAATTAGCCCACTCGCTGATGATCAATAATCCACAGCAAAGAAGTTCTGCACTGGGCTGGAAAGGATGCCACCTTGGGCTCCAGCCCCAGCATGGCCTCCCTGTATGCTGAACTTTGAAGCATCTTTACCCTCTTCATCTGCCAAAACAGAACAGCTGTAGCTGCCTATTACACTTTAAATCTGTGGTAAGTTGCAAGAATAACAGCAAATCTCTGCTACTCTGAGTACTTTACATAGCTTGACTCATTTATGCTTCAAAACAACCCCCTAAGTTAGATATTATTATCATTTACTGCATAGATGAAGAAACTGAGGCCCAGGGCATTTTTATAATCATCCATACATAGGACAAATAGGGGTTGAGTCAGGAATCACATCTAAGCAGGGTGGCTGCCCAGAGAAGTGCATACGACTGTAAGTACTACACCAAGGGGCAGCTCTCAGCTTTGAACCAGAGGCTATTTGGAAAAGAGATTGAAACAGTTGATATATGTAACCAAGGGAAACTTGGTTTGTTGACTTTTAAAGCAACTGGCTTCTTAGGCAATGTTTTTTAATTGTTAGGGAATAGGAGTACGTATAAACCCAGAAAAGGATGCACATAAATAAAATATTT